CACCGCCACCGCCTTGCCGCACTGCCATCGCACTGAGACCGCCCTGCCACCGCCACCGCCCTGCCGCCCTGCCATCGCTCTGCCACTGCACTGAGACCGCCCTGCCACCGCCACCGCCCTGCCGCACTGCCATCGCTCTGCCGCCGAACTGCCATCAATCAGCCGCCACACTACCACCGCACTGGGACTGCCCTGCCACCGCCACCGCCCTGCCGCACTACCATCGCTCTGCCACCGCACCGAGACCGCCCTGCCACCGCCACCGCCCTGCCGCACTGCCATCGCTCTGCCGCCGAACTGAGACCGCCCTGCCACCGCCACCGCCTTGCCGCACTGCCACCGCGCTGCTACCGCCCCGAGATCGCCCCCCTCCTTTTTTTTGTGAATACATTTTCAATGTGGCCCACAGTTACAAAAGAAAACTTAATATATTTGTTTTAAGAGTTACTGACTTAGATGTGCCACCCTTTATGTACAGGTCGGAGGTTGTCGGAGGTCGGAGATTTTATGGTATGGCATGTTATTAATGAAACAACATGGTGGACGAACTGTGGTATAGCCATTCTTACGCACACGTGAATGAAGGAACCGCGAGAGCCTTCTTTATCGATCATTCCCACGGCCTGCTATTTTCGATCAAGATCGATGACCCAGTTAAGCTTACATTTCACCTAAAGGAACTGAATTAAGCCGGGGTTACAAGACGTACGAATAAAGTCGATGTCGGGAGCCTACCTTCGGTCTCATATTATTATAATATATAGTAATTAATTTATACCTCCACAGTACTGTGCAGGTGTGTATCACAGATTGTCATGGCGCTGAGCACCATTGTATTAATAAGCCCAAGAAGATAACTGCAAATCAAGAGGATGGGAAATAAGTGTTTAAAGGAGTGTACCAGAATGAAATACCGGTACGTGCATCCTGCTTCCGTGCATCATCAATTGATTCATTTCTTAATTTCGCTCTCTACACGAAAAGCTCTCAGCTCTCGAAGTGTTTTGCACCATGCGTCTGATAAGGGTGCTGTCCGCTACGGCGGTCGCCATCTACTTTGCAACCTGCACTCTTGTGGACACCTGGTACGTACTCTAGGAGCCAGTCAGGGCATGACTACCGGAATTTACCGTATTTTTAAGCCCGATCGAGTTTTTGCAACCAGCGGTTCGTAAAAAGTCTGCAGCACCAACAGCATTAACCCTTTTGGCATAAAAAAGTGTCCCAGCTACAGCGCGCAATCCTCACACTATTGTGGAAAAAGCGGCGATTTCAAATGGGCAAGAGTATCTTGTGCAAGATTTTACGCCTTTCGCCGTTTTAAAGGTTTTGACTTGAAAGGTACTTTTTACACAGGCTGCAGAAAAGCCGTAAATTCCGGTACTTAGCTCCTGTGACGGGGTCACACAGCACCTTGCGCTAGAGAAAGTTATCTTTCGAGAGTATACAAACTCTCAGTGAAATGCAGCTCACAGGTCCCCTCTTTATTTAAAAGAGAGCGAAGTGACCTAATTAAGGTAGAATGTAAACTGAGTATATTTAAAGGTAGATAAAGCTTAAGTTTAGTACAAACTATAAGTCACCTATAGAATGCAATGTCATCAACCAATGGTTGGCTTTGGAGGACCTTGGTACTTTGTACCAAATATCCCGAAGTATGACGTGTCACACTTCATGTAACCAGGGTACACTTAGTGCTACGTACCCCGTTACCCCCCCCCCCAAACTTAGGTTTGGTTTACCGACCAATTAGAATGAAGAGGTGTTCGTCACAAACTTTTATTTTCAAAGTCGAAAACCATTGACTTGTCTGCGCGAGCGCGGCGGAGGCTCACTTCACAGTAAAAGCCTTGAGCAGCAGTCTGTGCGCTCTTCTTCTTGGTCTCCACTTTGCCCGTTAACCATGCCTCGTGGCACTGCAAAGGGCGGTGCGAAGACACGCTTGAAGGCTGCTGCCGGGAAGGCGCAAGCCAAAAGCACTAAGCCTCATGGCAAAGGCTCGGCGCTTAAGGAGGCTACTCAGTTGGCCTCGGAGGCAATCGGTTCCTCGGGTAACGCGGCTGCGGGCAAGCGCGCAAACAAGCACCGCAGTCCGTCGCCCTCGGCCTCTCCAGACAATCGTCCGAGCTCTCGGTTCGTAGAACGCGAGTTCGACTCTGGCAGTGAGGACGAAGCCGAGTCCGAGAGCACGCACGATGCTCCTGTGGGCTCTGTGGGAGGGCACATCCCAGTGCCCAGTGAGCACATGGATGACCGCGTGCAGTCGCTCGCTAGTGATCAAGGTGATCACAGTCCCAGGATGTCTGTGTGCTTTAAGAGTCCGGCCGTCAAGGCTAAGGGCACTCCCAAAGTCGGTGGCGATGAGGAAGAGAATCCTCGCAAACGTCTCTCGCTTGCCGAGGGTCTTGCGCGTGCTAAGGCCTCTAAAGCCGAAGGCACCAAGCCCTCAAAGAAGCGTACAGCCTCTAAGTCTCTAGTCCGCGAGTGGAAGGAGACTTAGCACTCCTATCCGAGTATCTTCGACTCAGAGGAGGAGAAGGAGGAAGAAGAGGAGGAGGAGGGTGCTATCTCTGAGCCCCGCGAGGTCTCCAATGACCCCGACCAGCAGCAGGAGGATTTCCCGAGCTGCCCAGCGTGTGCGTGGGGGTTCGGTGGTGGCACCCGTCTGCTAGGGAGCTGCCATCAACTTAAGAGGGTATTGGCCTCCCGAGGAGAGCTCTGGGGCTGACCTCTTCTTAGAACTTCTCGTCGCTTCTCGTGGCCTTGTGGGCGGCCACACTTCTACGAACGTGCCATAGTTCAGAAAGAACAGTTGTTCGCTGACAACTTGGAGGCTGCTCGGTGTGTGCTTCTCGCGCCACACCGCATTCCCCTTAAGGACTTCACGACTTGTCGTAAGAAGCCCGAATCCCGGGGTGGTCTCTATCCTCTTTGGGGATACCCCTGGGTTATGCCCGATATATCTCCCACGTGGGGTTCTTGTGCGGACATGTTCTGGGCTTGGGTGGAGTCTCTTAAGTACTCACCCACGGAGTTACGGGAACTCCATGAAGATCTGCTGCTGTCTTGCATCCTGGGCCAGCGTGATCTGCGTGTGAGGTTTGCCGACTTGGTTAGCAAGCGCATGCAGCCA